ACTGACCGTTATAGGATGAGATGTAAGGGAAAACCATCCAAACCCCCAGATAAATGGCCCCGTTTAGTAGGAAGAAAGAAACTATACCAATCACCAGATAAATGACCTGTTATAGTAGTGTAGATGTCAGAAATAACTATCACCCTATAAAATGAAACCGGTTTTTAGTAGTGTTAAAATGACCCGAAAAAAATACTTCACTAGATAACCGGGCCCGTTTAAATAGTGAGATGTCCCAACATTAAACCCTCCCAATTTTTAAAGGGCCTGTTTATAGGGTTTGATGTCAGGAAACCCCATTCATTTACAGAAACTGACCCCGTTATAGTAGGTAATGACAGAAACACTATACCATCAACCCCGATAATTACCTGTTTTTGTTTGTAGTGGGAAAAACACCCATACCCTCACCCGGGTAACCCGGCGGTTATAGGTTTGTGAGGGTGTTTTGCAAACACTTTCTCTCACCAGATAACCTTTACCTTTTTATAGTGGTAAAAATGGCAGAACACTTTTACTAACAAAAACTGACCTTTTTTTATAGAGGGGGGTAGATTTTCAGAACACTAACATCACCAATAAAAGTCGGTTTATCTAGTGTTAAAATGTCAAACCCTATAATATCACCAATATTTTCCCCGTTTAATTGGGGTATTCCCGAACCTATTCCATACCAATAAATGACCCGTTATAGTATGTAGATGTCAGAACCCCCTTTGACTACACCCAGAAAAACTGACCTGGGTTTTAGTTTGTGTGATGTCAGGGAAAAACTTTCTATCACCCCAAAAACTGACCCGGTTTTTTTGGGAGTGGGAGATTCAAAAAAAACCATACATCACCAGAAACGACCTGTTTAAGTAGTGGGGAAGTTCCCAAAAAAATATAAATTCCCAGAAAACTGACCTGTTTTTAGTAGTGGAGAGTCAGAACCCCTAATAACCCTACCCGAAAAACGGGCCTGTTATAAGTGGGTTTCAGGGAAAAAAATATACCAAAACCCAAACAAAGACCTGTTTTAGTAGGGAATGTAAACACTATACTAAACAACCCGTTTAACCTTACCTGTTATAGTAGTGATGTCCCGAACACATACATCACCAATAAATGACCCGTTTAGTTGAGATGTCCGAACACATACCCAAACACCAATTAAATTTTAAATGTTATAGTAGTGTGAGGTCAGGGAAAAAAATACCTTTACCCCAAAGGGGGTAAATGCCCTTTCTTGTGTAAATTTTCAGAAAAACTAAACTACAAACCAGAAACGGGCCTGTTTGTATTAGATGTCAAAAAACCCAACCCTCACCCGATTTTCCGACCTGTTATGTAGTGTGATTTAGAACCTATTTCCACACCCGTAAAATGACCCGTTATAGTTTTGTGAGATGCAGAACACTTTTTATATCACCAGATAAGACCTTTGTTTTTAGTTTTGTCAGAAAAAAATACCATCACCAGATAAAGCCGGTTAAAAGTAGTTAGAGGTTTGAACACTATACCACCCCCGATAACTGGGCCCTGGGATTTAGTGTTGAAGGGCGAAAAAACCCATATATCACCAGAATTTTTCTGAAACCTTTTTTTAGTTTTGTAAATACCCAAACAAATATAAATATCCCCCAAAATAACCCCCGAAACCTTTTATAGTGTTTAGATGTCAACACCCATACTATCACCAGATAACTTTACCCGTTATAGTATGTAGATGTCAGAACCAAATACCCTCACCAGAAAAACGGGCCTTTTTTATAGTAGTGTAATTTGGGCAGACACAGACCCAACCCGATAAACCCGACGTTTATAGTAGTGTAGATGTCAGAAAAAATTTTAACCCCTCACCAGATAAACCCCCGAACCCGGGGTTTTAGGTGAGATGTCAAACCATACTATCACCCAATAAATGACCTTTTAGTAGTGATGCAGAACTTACCATCCCCCAGATAAAAGGCCTGGGTTTTTAAATAGTGGAAAATGTCAAAACCCCCCCATCCCCTCAAATAGAAACTGACCTGTTATAGTAGTGTAGAAGTCAAGGGAACCCCAATTTTCCAAACACCCCGTCATGACCTGTTATTAGGGTAATTCAGAAAAACTATACTATCACCAAAACTGACCGTTTGAAGTGTAGATGTCAAACACTATACCAAACCCCCGATAAAACCCCTTTTTTTAGGGAGGGTAGAGTCAGAAAACAAAACTTTCAACCCGATAAATTTACCGTTTTAATTAAATTAGTGTCAGAAACCTATACCATCACCCCGATAAATGACCTGGGGTTTTAGTAGTGTAATTCAAGAAAAACATATACTATACCAGATAACTGACCCCGTTATATTTGTTTTTAGATTTAGAAAACTAAAACTACATAGATTTAAATGCCTGTTTTAGTAGTGTAGATGTCAGAAACCACTATACTATCACCAGATAACTGACCTGTTATAGTAGTGTAGATGTTAGAAGAACTGGAGAACAAGGATGGTGTTGAACCTAGTTATCTGTGTGATCACCAGACAGATGTTGCTCTCCGGTGTTGTGATGAAACAAAGGTGTGGGTGAATTTATTCTGCCACTGTCTTCTTATTGTCTCGTCTTTAGTCCTATATATCATGGTGTCAAGGCATATGAACTAACAGGTTATAGAGCAAACAAGGCAATTATCACAACACATTGGTTGTAATATGGCTTTTTTCTGACTTCCACAGTGATTTTACCCACACACCACTACTGGTGTGATGACTAGATGTGATTATTAAAGATAATTAAACTAGTAAACAAGTGGTGCAGATTCTGTTTGGTTGTTTTTCAATAATCCCAAATTAAATTGAAGATTAAATATTGAATTGTGATGAGACAACTCAAGAAATCTATGACAGGTTCTCCAGGTCCAATATTATTTTAATACACCATGGTGGAAGGGTTGCACTTCAACAAACACCCTGAAAATGTCTACATGTCTTTTATGTTGCCAACTCACACACAATTGGTGGCCCCAAAACCCCCCATACATTTGATTGGTTGACATGGGGAGGTTCCTCGGCCATCACTACAACCGATAATTAGAGTTGACAGGTGAAAACCACTTATCCAAATATGGCATAAACATTTATATCAGACAGATAACATGGTACTAAGGGTGCTGACATGGTACTTAAAAATACATGGTTCGATCTGGTCAACAACTCAACTTTCAGAATGTCTTGGTCAGTGTATTCACTGGTCTAGAATGAGCAGCTAAAGGAATTTCTCTGTCAGCTTGGCTGCGGCTGTTTTAAGTGTGGTTTCTGATTTCTGAACAGGAGTGAGGATTCCAATACAGTATAAACATTCTAACGATTCACACAGTGTATGCATATAATATATAGAATATACTGGATAAATATATTAGGTATATATTGGAATAGAATAATTGAGAATATATATAGGTTCAAATGTTGGTCTTCAAAACTATAGAACCAAGGACTACTTATTTTATTCAACACACAACACTACCCTTATACACTTTGGCTCTTTCTCAGTTGTCTGAAAATCGGTTCTCTCCTTGACTGATCTGCCAATCAGATCAGATTCAGGGGAGGAGACAAGGAGTGAAGGGATTTTTAAGCAATTGGTCTGTTTACATTTCCACAGATTACATACCAACACCAACATCTAGTGGTCAATTCTGTTTTTTTATTAACAGGGGCTGAACGTATCAAGCGTCTCAGAGCAAGAGCGCTAACTTAGGATATGTTTAGCCTTTTAGATCACATTGAATGAGACTACGTGGACAGGGTTTGCCTGGTCCTAGATCAGCACTTCACTCTTAGATACTTGATACACACATTGTGTGCCTTTAGTTGTCTCCAGCTGATTAAAATGGTATACAACAGATTCCAAGTGAACCAAATAATGATTTTCAATCAAATAATGTTTTGTTAATTGTATTCATCATTTGCATTATTTCACAATATGTCTGTAAACTATGTGTTCAGTGCAGAAAAAAATATAACAATATCAACTATTGGCTGAAAAGTAATTCCCTCAATCTCACATTATTATCACCACACTTGTTGTCATGAACTACAAAAATGTAATCATCAATAGCAAAAATGTAATCATCTTTAACAACAAAAATGCAATTATCATGAACAAGAAGAAAATCATCATCATCAACAACAACAAACATAAAATCATCATAAAATCATTGTTATCAACATCATTAAAAATAAAATCCTCATTGAATAGATTGACGCTGGGAAATACCTTCAAAACTGGCCACGTCATTGGACAAATCACTATTAAGGTGTGGTCCAATAAAAACATTTTAAATCTACTTAGTAAGTAATCATTTTTGATTAAGTAAATTGTTGAAAGTATAATCAATGTGAAACAAGAAATGCATTTTGTTCACAATTAAAATAAAAACAAAAAACAACTGTTTCCCACTGAACCATGCAGTCCCTTCTAAATCATTAAACTGTGATTAAGGCATATGAAACCATAGGTTAGATGGTAATTAAATGACAGAAATATATTTTTTATAATTTGAAACTAAATGAACAATGTCAGACTAGCTCCTTATTTACCTGTGTATTGTGTTTATTTATGGACATTATCAAGTAAAACACTGAATCTGTTAGTTAACATGTTGGTGTTCACCTTTACTTTTCTTATTTGTAGGATTTCTGAATTTGCTTACATCTACATCTATTAGAAAATGTTATTCCTTTCGCATCAAATTCAAAGTGTTAGCTATGTATTTCATTATGGAACATCAGATCTGTAAATTGCTAAGACGTCAAATATTTATGAATGCATATAGATTAAATATGTTTTTCCAAGCTGCATTTGTTCTTTTTCAAAATTGCATTGGGTATTGCCAGAACTGCACATTATTTCAAAAACTTTATTGAGACAAACTGGCTCTACATATGTTGATTCTGTGATATGTAATTCCTGGTTGTTAAGTCTATGAAAAGTCAATCATGTTTTTGGTCAACAAGTCATTATATAGTACTTCATTTCATGTTGAATGACATTTTTAAGCTTCTCATTGCATCATCAGGTGTTAACGCCTTCCAGTCCCCTGGGATATCAGCAGGAAGTGCATTTACTTCTTTAGCGATTCTCTCATGGAATGTGGCCATCACATACTTCCAGTAGTCTGACGCCTCCACGCTGGCATCACCAGTTATGGTCCAATCAGGGTAATATGTCTGGTAGTCCTTGTAGGGGTGAACCTTTTCTCCAGTCACAGCATTGGAGAATGCTGCTTTGCAACTAACCACAAGAGATGAACATATCTCAATTACTAATTTCTGTGAATAAGTATCCCTATAACCACAGATACCTTGTGAACGGTGAATGGAGGAATGGTGTTTGTTGTGCTCTATCCCCCCTGCTTCACAAGGCACACCACAGAAGGGACATTGCTTCCCACAGCCAAACAGACTGGTGAACATCTCGTCGTGAGGCTTGAATGGAAGAGATCTGAGTCTCTCTTTGATGTCTCCTCCTATGTCATACGTAGCTGTCAGTGACTGCTCCATTTCTCTCACACACTCTGTGAGGTAGACAGCAAACTGTTTTGTGTCTGCGGTGTTCAAAATCAAGATGGAATCCAGAGCGTCCTTGAGGACCAGCTTCTCTTCAAGGGCGCTGCAGATGTTCTGAATGAATGTCTTGACATCATTTACATGTTTTATGCCAGTAGTTTCACTGATGTTAGAGATTGTGTAAGTGATCATCTTGACCATCTCTGAAAGATGTTTCTTCTCCAATTTCTCCAGACCGCGGTCCTTTGACTGTTGTTGGCCAATCTGGTCAAACAGCCAGTCCTTCACAAACCTTTCATAATGACTAATGTACTCTTTATATTTCTCATATTTTCCATCAGCCAGGAGCTGTTTCAAAATGGAGAACTGGAAGGCCGTCCGTGTGCTGTAATCCTCTGACCCTTTACCGATCTTCACTTCATCAACTACATCAGGACCAATCATTTTGGTCACATAGTCCTGTACAGCTGGCTGCAAACAGAGCTTTGTGAAGTCCTCAGCTTTCTTTTGGCACTGGTCTCGGTTATGAAATACGTCTCTGAACTCAGTAAGGTACTTGTTCTTAGACGGTTCCAGACACTTCTTTGGGTCATTTTTATTTTTATTTTTTTCATTGACTTCAATTAAATTATCATGCATCTTCTGAAACTCTCCGGCTGCTCTGCCACAGATGTGTAGCTTCAGAGAAACCTCACATTCCTCATTGATTTTTACATTCTTGTGTTGTTGCAACATTTCATCAATCTTGTTCAGCAGCTCTTTGATATAAGTATCATGGTAATCTGTTTTGCTTTCCACCTTCTGGGTTATCAAGTCCTGACAGTGTGTTATGATGTTACCACACAACTTTTTGAGTTTCTTCCTGTAATGGTCGCTATCCCAGTGCATAACTAAGCCCCCAATTTTCTTCCCTAAACCCCCAGATTCCACAGCAAATTCCTTTTTACCACAATCCACCAGATTGTTTCGAACCACCATTCTATTGACATGCCCACTAATTGTTGATAGATTTCCTCTTAACATAAGGAAGGCATCTTGAGCCACATCTCGTTGTGGGAGTCCTTTGAAGTGTATCTCAGAAAGAGTTTTCTTCCACATGATTTCAAACTCTTTCCTGAGGGCCTCATCTGATAGACCAGATTTTTCCTGTCTACAAATCTGAAGCAATTCTAGTACCTTTTGCTCCATTGTACTTGCCTGAGAGCGCTTGATGTTGTTCAGTTCTGTCATTCCCTCTTTGATTTCAAACTGCTCCTTGCAGTTTGTTCTTCACTGTGTTTTCTGTCTCTCGTCTCAGTGTTTTAGCACTACACACAAAATCCTCCTTGTATTTTTCCACCAGATTGACATGGCCATCTTCCTTTTCAAAGTATTTTACTAGATTGTCTTGGATTTTATTTTCTCCCTCTGCAAGCTTCTCAGATGCTTCTCTCAACAAGTCATTTAGCACATCTTTTAAGGACCTCTGGGGATATTGATCTGTCATGACAATATTGGATATTTTAGTTTCAGCACTCATCATCCAGGAATACATCTCCTTCTGGAAGGCCCATTCCCAACCATTGTATTCAGAGCATAATCTGGAGTATGTATCTGCAACCAAGCTGTTTCTGAAACTAAAGATGAATTTCTCAAATTTCACTGCCTCCCACAAGCTTTGTGTCCATTTCAGGAAATGTGTCAAATCATCATTTCTCTGACAGATTCTAAAATCTTTCATCAAGCTCTTCTTGAAATTGTACACCGCCTCACTGTAGCCAGCATTGACTGGAGCCATAGGGGGAGTCCCATGCCAGAGTCCTGGGATGTAGCAGCTGCTTGTGTCTGGATCATAGTCCATCACGTCAGTGAACTTGGTGATATTCTCCTTCTTCTCCATTATGGTTGCTGCCAGGGTCATTTCATTCAACTGTTCCAACAACTTCTTCCTGTCCCTCATGTTGTTGTCATGAGCAGACATGTCTGACACATTCTGATGCACAAAATGACATACTGGCTTCTTCCCCACTTCCTTCATCCTGATAAAAGCATGAACAACAATCTGTAGAATGTCTTTCATCTCTGTGGAGTTCTCCATGGCAATGTTGATAATCGTGACATCACTGAGTCCTATTACTAGTGTCGCCAATTCATTGTCATGTTCATAGCTATCATCAAGTTGAGCAAGCTCTGGTGATTTCAACCCCTCTGTGTCGATGACCATGATGAAGTCACATTTCAGCTCCTCCTTGAGTTCTTTGTTGACTTTAATCAGTAGCATGAAAGCCCCTCTGGTGCATCTTCCACTGCTGACAGCAAACTGGATCCCAAACATGGTGTTGAGGAGAGTGGACTTCCCAGTGCTTTGGACCCCTAAAACTGTGACCACCCGGATCTTGCTGTTGGATTGGACAAGAGTATGAAGCTGAGTCAGTACAGCTGATATCCATTTCAGAGGGATATTTGATGCATCTCCATCCACAAGCTCAATGGGGAAACCATCCAACAGCATCTGAGCACACAATCCAGGTAGATGCTCCATCTGTTTCCTTTGTAGGCTACTTTCAGGGAGGGAGCAGGAAGCTTCATATAACTGGCCCAACTCACGAAGAAAGTGTTCCAGACCTAATGAACAGTCAGATAATTGCTTATCCAAATGTTTAATGTCGTCTTTTTTCTCCGGAGAATATTGGCAAAGATCTTTGTACTGGTCCCGCAAACCAGACAGGTTCTGACGTGACAGATTGTCCAGATTTATGCGCATCCATTTGAGGAAATAGGATCGCTCAGGTCCTGATCTTGACATTCCTAACATAAAGTTTGCCATTGCATCTGACATGTCAAATGTATGTTGTTTCTCTCTCAGCTCTTCCTCCTTTCTCTTCAGAGAGCTCTTGTAGTGTTCAATGTTTTGATCCCCTTGTTTTCTCAGCCTACATCTCTCTTTCTCCAACTGGGAAAGCTCTTTCCAGATTTGCCCTTGTAAGGGTAGCTGTTTGTCTTTGAATTTAATTGTGTCTTTGATGTTAATGGTGATTTCATCTGCCATCTTCCTGGCACTCTGACACCCATTACTGTCTTCATCAACCAGAATCTTACTCTGACGAGCCACGTCAGCCATGTTTTCAATTGTCAATCGGTTTGTACTTTTTTCCACGATGTCACCCACCGAGGACTGAAGGGTCTTGACAAATTCTTCATCATTCTGCTTCTTCTTCACAATCACGTTTCTGTCTTTGATCCTGCAGTTTGTGATAATTTTTTTCAATGTGTCTACTCTGAATGTTTTTCTTTGAGAGTTGACGACCAGAAATAACTCTGCCTTTGTGTCTTTGGTTTTCAACAACTTGAGATCTGTCTTTAAATCATCAGTGAAAATGTAAACTGCAGCTGATGTTTGACACAGAAAGGAGAACTGTTTTTCAAAGGACCTGATGTCTCCTCTGAGATTGGCAACAGCCACAGGCTTAGTGAACATGTCTATGTTTCTGTTCCCACATGGAAAGTACCAGCTGATTTCAACTAGACCATCTGAGATTTGCCGAGAGACATCACCACATTCCATATCATGATGAACAAATGTATCATGGTACTGTTGAGGGTTACTAAGCAACTTGTTCAAAATCTGAGACTTGGACAAGCTGCTCTCTCCTAGCCTAACAAAAGACACCATGGGAATATCAGAGAGAACTATTCTCTCTTCCACGAAAGCATTTGTGGCCGTTTGGGAAGAGGGTCTAAACTTCCTCACGATGTCCCTCAAGGCCCACAGCATCAAAGTGCTTTGTTCTGTGTCACAGTTTGGCAGCAGGAGAGGAACAGCAAACTGACACATGGACATTTTCTGGACCATCTCCTGCTGCAGGAAACTATCTGAGCACAGAAACAGGGCTGTAATCAGGTCCAGTGGATTAATGACATTGCTGGTATCAGAGTCAGTGTCCAGGTTGTCTACTCCATAATATGGAACTTCCTGGTCAGTGGACATACTTTTGACACTCCTAGCATTTACATTTGCCATCATTAATTTCTTAAGGAGGGCCCCTGGAAGTGACTGCATAGTGGTAAGTGGTTCATCTGATGTAGTATTATCATTTATCTCAAGGACAGTACTTAACGTCAGCTTGTTTTCATAGTGATCTTCCAGTCCAACCTTTGACAACAGCTCCATGAAACAAGATCCTGTTTAATAGAAATAAAAAAGCTGCCATGATTACAAATACCCTTTTCCACAGCGATTAGCAGAATAGTACACCAACAGGTGTTTTACACAGTATTTAGAGCAGGGATGGGCAACTTTAGGTGGGGGCCACAAAAAAATCACAACTCATCATGAGGGGTCACAGTTGCTCGTAGGTTGCCCATCAATGATTTAGAGTAAAGTTCAGTAAAGTAAGCCGAGTCAGACCAACACCTTGACACAATGAGTCACAGGAATTCAGGCATGTATGTAACACAGAATTAATTTTAGGGAGGTATAGTGAGATAAGATATGGTAAGGCAATTGCCTGTGGGGCGGCAGGTGGGGCGGCAGGTAGCTTAGTGGTTAAGAGCGTTGTGCCAGTAACCGAACGGTCACTGGTTCTAATCCCCGAGCCGACTAGGTGAAAAATCTGTCGATATGCCCTTGAGCAAGGCACTTAACCCTACTTGCTCCTGTAAGTCGCTCTGGATAAGAGCGTCTGCTAAATGACAAAAAAAAAAAAAAAAAAAATATGCCATCTGATGCTCTGGTAAAATGTCTACTGCAATGCAAATGAGAGATCCAATCAATGGAGAAATGGTAAGCTAAAGAGCAACAGTCAGAGCATTACTATAATTATTACACTATCCACCTTATACAGCCTGGCAACAAGAATGCATCCAATTTGTTACGGTTGTCTTCCAACTTCAGGCGCAATGACACTCAGCTGGTGATGTCGATAAATATAAATGATTAAATAATGAGGTGTAAGGGAGATGGCATGAAGAGCTTTTAAACAGGAGACAATACCTTTGCTTGTTTCCCTGTTTTTTCCTGAAGAACCATCCTTCTCTGGTTTTGACTTAGTGGCTTTTGGTAAAAGCTGTTGGACCTTTTCTGATTTCTGTCAAAAAAGTTAGATGTGTGTTAACTCATTTAAATTCAAGATGACATTGAATCTACAATTCCAGGTATTTTTTTTAGAATAAAGCACTATAGTTTCCATGTAGTACTCTGGATGGGGTTTTGGGTAAATAATAGATCAAAACATTAATGATTTCACTAGATCCACACAGTTACAATGAACCCTTCATTGATATTCGCTTTGCATAGCGTATGTTCAATATATTTACTTTACATAGCGTATGTTCAATATATTTACTTTACATAGCGTATGTTCAATATATTTACTTTACATAGCATATGTTCAAAATGTATATTTCACAAGTGACTGACTCGTTCTACACCATATACTACCATTCTGCCTAATATGTATTTTAATATTATTTTCAGCATGTTAATCATTATAGGTATCAGCGTGTCTTATCAATTACTATCATACCCTAATTATGAGTACCTTTTTAATCACGTCTGCTGTTTGACATTTACAATGATGGACATTCACTTGGTTATTTCCATTCTCACGTGTGAATTCAATTGAATTGCATGAATTTGTCGTTTTTTATACATGGTGTGTTGTGCTTCCGCAGATTGGCACGGACTAAATTACTGTGGGGAAAACTGTTGCCAATCCCTACCACCTCTTCACTCCCTGAACTAATTACAAAACATGCCCCAGAACTATTAAGAAAAGGGAACGTGAACTTGCCTTGGACAAGCCTCTCCACCCGGCATTTCTCCACGGAGGGACCTCTGCCTTGCTGCTTCTCCCCACTGCTAGCCTGCTGCTGCGGGGAAAAACACCATGACAACGCTTGCTACAGCACTACTAAAGGAAAGCATTTATTCCTAACGTGTGAGTGAGGCTCCCATTGTTGATCAGTATACACACTACTAGTATGAATTAAAGACACAG